CCCCCCCCCCCCCCGCAGGCCCCACTCCCAGACCTGGCCCCGACAGCCCGTGCAGCGGACCCCAAGCCCAGCACCCGCAGCCCCGGGACCTCACCCACTGCCCCCAGGGGCTGTGTCCCAGCCGTGGGCACCCAGGGCTGACCGGGAGCTGCAGGGTGACCTCTCTGTAGGTGGGTGAAGGAAGTTAGGGGCCCTGCACCCCCCAAGCCCCACAAACATAGACCAGCTGTACAGCTCTTGTTGGGGGCCAAGGTCTAGGTCAGGTCTTCAAGGTGCCCAGGGAGACGCTGCAGGCTGGCGCCTCAGGGCTGCACGGCACATCGCCCCAGGGGCACCCCGAGACACCCTCTTTTCAGGGGGGCCCTCAGGCCTCCTTCAAGCTGCTGCAGAGGGCTCTACAGTCCGGCCTCCGGTGTCCGGTGACGGACGGGGGAGCGTGGGCCGAGAGGCCAGCGCCTGTGCCCATCAAGATGCCCCCGCCGCTGCAGGACCCGAGAGGATGGTCATCCCCGCCAGGAGGCCACCCCGTCTGCAGCAGACCGGCCCACACCCCCCACCTTACCCCCCCCACACCGACGCGGCTGGGGCGCAGAGGGTGAGGGGGACGCTCCCCGTGAGCCCCGCCTGGGACACCCCGCGCTCGGCGCCCTCCCAGCCGGCACCCCGTCTCCGCGGCTGTTCTCGGGGCCCCGCTCAGGCCGACCCGGGGCCCGCGGGCAGCCCCGGCCCTGGCTGACCCACTGGCTTCTTCGTCCGTCACCTCCGCAGCGAATTCTGCACAGACGGGCAAGACGCGGACCCGCGGAAGCCCCCGCCGCCCCCCGGGACCCCAGCCCCTTCACGTGTTACCCGCACTCACGTAAGTCACCCCGACGCGGCCGTCCGCTGAGGCCTTTGTGTTCAAGTTTCCCAAAAGGACAAACCCAAGGCAGAAGGGAGCGGTGGAAACGGCGCCGGCAGAAAAGCCGCAGCCGAGAGAGTGTCCGGCCACGCTGCAAGTCCGGGGCGCGCGGGGAGCCTCTGCGCCCTGCTGGCCGGACACTGGGCTCTCACCGCCAGGAGCGCGACGGCGGTCAGTGGCCACCCGTCGGCAGA